CGCCGGGCCGCTTTTTTTGGCTCCCCCGCATCCCCCCGGCTTCGCGGGGGGACGAGGCGGAGGGGCGGGCGGGCGGGGAGGACGGAGCTGGCCGGGCTCTCTGGAAACCCAAACTTTCCCCGAACTTGCTTAATGCGGGATGATTTATTTGAGTTGGAGCTGACCTCTCTTGTCTCGCCGTCCTAGAGTTAGGATATTTGACAGTAATGAAGAGTGATAGATTGCTCCCGCTCAGCTAAGCAGCTGATGCATTAATTATAAATTGCGGTATGGCTAATATAAAGTTTGCTCTGGTGTGGGGAGGTTGGGGAGCTGGAGGCAGTAATTTGGCGGAGGTGGCCGAGGGGCAGGCAGCACCGGGCGCTCAGCGGTGCAACACAATGGGTTTACTGCATCCAAAGGCGGCCATTTTGTTGCAGTTGCTATTTTATGCTATATGGACATATAGATATAGACACATACGTGCGGAGAGAGCACTCCCCCCCCCCCCCACCCTCCCCCCCCGGGATGCGATGTGCTCGGATGCTGAAATTCAATCTGTGTATTTATCTGTTTTGTGTGTGCGTGCGTGTGTTTTTGCTTTCGCTCTTCTGGCGGTGGTGCTTTGGGGTGCCTGTGGCTGGTGGGTATTTTTCTTTTTCTTTTTTTTTTTTTTTCTTTCTTTTTTAACAGACCCCCTTGAAATCCCCGATAGTGGTAGCGGTGGATCTAGGCGGCTGAGGACGGCTTACACCAACACCCAGCTTTTGGAGCTAGAGAAAGAATTTCATTTCAACAAGTATCTCTGTAGACCAAGGAGGGTTGAGATTGCAGCCTTGCTGGATTTGACTGAGAGACAAGTCAAAGTCTGGTTCCAGAACAGGAGGATGAAGCACAAGAGACAGACCCAGTGCAAAGAGAACCAAAACAGCGAGGGGAAATTTAAGAGCCTAGAGGACCCCGAGAAAGCGGCGGAGGAGGAGGAGGAGGAGGAGAAATCCCTCTTCGAGCAAGCCCTCAGCAACGTCTCCGGCGCTCTCTTGGAGCGGGAAGGCTACGCTTTCCAGCAGAATGCCCTCTCCCAGCAGCAGGCACAGAATGCGCACAATGGCGAGTCCCAAATTTTCCCCGTTTCGCCTTTAACAAGCAATGAGAAAAATCTGAAACATTTTCAACACCAGTCACCCACTGTTCAAAACTGCCTCTCAACAATGGCCCAGAACTGTGCAGCTGGCCTGAACAATGACAGTCCTGAGGCCCTAGATGTCCCTTCTTTACAGGACTTTAACGTTTTCTCCACAGATTCCTGCCTACAGCTTTCAGATGCAGTTTCCCCCAGTTTGCCAGGATCTCTGGACAGTCCCGTAGATATTTCTGCTGACAGTTTTGACTTTTTTACAGACACACTCACCACAATTGACTTGCAGCATCTGAATTACTGAGAAATTAAAAACGTCCTCTCCAAGGGTCCTGCTTTCTCCTCCTCATTCTTTTTTATTTTTCCCGTGAATTAATTTTATTTTTTCCCCTCCCTTTTCCTGGTCGGTATTTTCTGTTTATTACCTCCCTCTGCTGTGCCATTTTGCCGTTTCTTACGAAGTTTTAGTTGTGTTCAATTTTAACCTAGTCACATTCTAGGTCCTTCTATGAAAGCAATATATGAGGTCTGTAAGAAAGTGATCATATAGGAATTGTATCTTCACTTTCTTTTTATTTTTGTATTGCATTAGGATGCGTTGTCATAAGTATTTTTGGTAGAATAAATTCTTGTTTGCTACAAGGAGCTTTCTCTTTTTTCTTTCTTTCTCTCTCTCTCTTTCTCTCTCCTTTCAAGACTGATAACACGATGGGCATTTCTCCCCATTCCTTCTACTCTTCACTTACTAATAATCAAAATCCAACATTCTGACTATGAGCTCTCCCCTTTTGGCATTTTAGGACATTTATTAGAGAGGAAAACACGTACAAATTCTTTATTGCACGGGTTTTAACAAGGGGGAAAAAACCAACAAACCAAACAAACTAAAACCATTCACAGCTTTGATGGAGATCTCTTCCTTTTAATGTATAAATGTAGCATCTTATCTCTGTGAGGATACAAAGCTTGGAAATGCTGAGCTGTAACAAAAGCATGAACGAGCACTTTCTCTCTTACAGGCAAAACATGAGAGACTCAGTAGGATAAGCATCTCCTGCAGAAACTAGCCTGTTACATACACGAAAGGGTTTTTTTTTGGTGGTGTTTTTTTTTTTTTTTTTAAAAATAATCCTGGTTTTCTATAAAGCAGTGCTTAGCAGCCAGCAAGTTTTTTTCAGGAAACGTATCTTAAAAAAATATCAGAGCTCACAGAGAGTGCGCTTGGTTACTTCTCACATGCTGAGCGGTCCAAGAATTCAGCCCTAAAAGAGAAGAGGAAATGGAGAAGTTAATGCCTGCAAAATCAAAAGGGTGGCACAAACGCGGGGGAAAAAAAAGAGCATTTAGGGAGGAATCAGCCCCTCCACTGGGTCCTTTTGAAGGGCGGTGCGGGGGCACAGCCGAAGCTATTTTTTTTTTCTGTTTAAACCTTCTTGCGGGGCGAAGGACTGATAACGAAAAGGGGAAACTCTGACTTTAAAAGTTACGATTTCCTCGGGTCTCCCCACTCACTGCTTGCGGCAGCAAAGATAGGCTTTCAGAAGTTCTCCACCAAATTGCCTGCCACCCGGCTAGCGGCTTTGCCGGACCCCGAACCGGAGGGTGAGCCCTGTCCTTCGGGCTAAAACCGAGCAACAGATGCCAGCGGGGCTCTGCCGCTTCGGGGCCAGGGGATCCCGGGTGGGCGCGATCGCGGCTCCCGGTGTGTGTGTGGGTGCGTGTGAAAGTGTGGTTACATCGCACAGGAGAGTGGGGCTTGAGCGGGGGGTTTGTGGCCGGGGCTCCCCTGCCCGTCCATGCGAGGAGTGTTGTCTCCCAGCCCTGCAACACGTTGTGGAGCTGGGATGCGTGGGTTATAGCTGGAAGGGCTGAACGCAATTCTTCCGAAAGTCATAAATCAAACTCTTTCTATGAATGAGAATGTCATCAAAGAGATCAATTGCAGGAACACATGCACAAATAAAAATCCTCTTACGTATTTGCCGGGGCTGGGGATCCCCGTCTAAAACCATTAAGTGAGAAGGCGTTTAGTCATAATTCATTTTTATTGCTCTTTTAAAACAACAGCTTGGCTGAGCTGCGGACGCGGCGAAACCTCGGCCCTGCTTCTTGTCCTTCTCTCTGCTCCAGCCCTGTCCCTGCGGAAAGCCAGCAGTCTCACCAGCATTTTAACTCCTCTGCCACTGGGTTAAATTGGACTGCAACGTGCACGTACGGGTTGGAGGTTTTTTGGGTTTTTTTGTGCCCAGATTTCTGGATGCTGACAAGGCTTTTTTTTTTTTTTAAAAAAAAAAAAAAGTAAAATAGGCTACGTGATTTAAACTTCTCGCAAACTCCACTTGAATAAATGGGGGGATTCAGCGAGCGGGAGTCGCCTCCGAGTCTCCCGGTGAGCCCTGAGGCCACAGCGGAGGCACACTCCCACGGAAAAGCCTAAAGCGCCGGGATTGTCCCCTCAGCCCCAGTCCCGGGGCAGGAAACGCGGAGCGGAGCCGCGGAGGGGCGCGGAGGGGCCGGGCCGGCCTGCGGGCAGAGGGAAGGGGCGGCAACTCCCCCTCGCCGGGCCGCGGAAGGGGTTGTGTGGTGTCGTGTCCCCCCCCCTCTGCTCCGGCCCTTCTCATGATGTTGCCCCCACGCACAGTACAGACAGCAAAGCCCCGCCAGAGAGACAATGCAACAAAAGAGACAATGGCACGAAAAAGGGAGAGGAAAAAGGATTTCAGGATGCTGGAGACTGTGAGAGGTGCTGTGATTCGGCGGAATTTACGGGTAAACCGGATCTATTTATAGTAAAATATACATTTTTTTTTTCTTGGCTGGCTGTTGTGAAAAAGCACTGAAAAGGTGCCAGCCCTTTTATTAGTAATCAGTCTCAGCGGCCTGCCTTTTTTCTCTGCCTTATGCAGTATTTATCACAAGTGGTTTACGAGAATGAAATAAATGTGTTTACAGCCGTAACCATAGCCAAAATTGGTGCAGTATAATGCCATAAATGCCTCCGGAGTGTTGTTGCTCTTGTCCTCCACCCCGCCCCCCCTGGAGTTTAAGAAACTGAACCTTCCCAGAGAGCCTTTAACCATCCGTGCCTGAGCAGTAAATCAGAACAAATAGAAACACTGAGGGCATAGAGCAGCCCTTCGGTTTTGGCAGGCAGTAGAGAGGCCGTGGCGGTGGCACGGGATAAGGGCTGCCCTAATAGCAGTAGGAGAGGTTTGCACCTAGGAGAGGATGTTGTAGTTCATGTGGGAGGGCGGAGCTTGCGGGTTTATGTGTGTGTGTGTTCGTGAGCAGGGAGAGGTGGCGGGGTAGAAGAACCTTTTTGGATTTCAAAACAAGCAAGAACAGAGCGTGAGAACAGAGGCACGTAGAAGCCGGCTAGAAATGCACCTGCAGAAATAGAGGGGCCAGACCCTCCTGGGGCTGGTGGCAAGGGACATGACTTTCCATCCATCTATCCCCGAGGTTAACGTTTCGCAGGACGCCTCTGTGAAGCCTGTTGGTGCCGTCCTCTCTCCCTGCAGACGGCTGGTTGCCCCGGGACGGACAGACGCCCGGTCTTTACCTCCCCTTTCCTTTTCCGCATACGTAAACCTCATATGAGGTCGCAACCCACATCCCACCGCCCTCCCTCCTTCTCTATCCACGGAACCTTTTTTTTTCTTTTTTCTTTTTTT